GACTTGGAAGGAGGGGCCGCCGAGCCGGAAGGACCACCGGCTTGCTTGGCGATGCCCCGCCCCAGAGCTGCTTGACCTCTTCCAAGCGTACTTCGGGATTAAGGTGGCGCTGCAGAAGCGCCTGGAAAGCGCAATTCTGCAGCATATCCACGTCAAGAAACGCGGCCAGATTGCTGTCCAACGTCTCGCAGATGCCATCAATAATTATCGTCTTACGCCTAGTGTCCGACGTACTCGGAGGCGGCGACGTAGGTGACAAATCCCGAAGCTGCGCTTGCACATCCTTCAGGGCGGAGGTTATTTCGCCCAAGCGCTCGCCGTATTCGGCGAGAATGCCATGAACCTCTCCCTTAAAGGAAGATAATTCCGCTTGAAGAGCGGGGACTTGATTGTCGCGAGCCGCGCGAAGCATTTCTTGGACCTGCGCGGCTGCCGCAGCCTGCGCTGGCGTACGCGCCGGAAGCCCGCCCGTAGAAGGCGAGGCCCGCTGCGCGGTCTCCGAAGGCGATTCCGCCGGAGAATCAACGTCCATCTGTGGACAATCAACAGGAATATTATTAATATGATGTTCCTTATTGGGAATAGCCAAAGGGCGTTCGTCTTCGTCGTCGGACTCAGTAGCCTCGGGCGCAGTAGGGTCCTGTTCCTGAAGGGATGCTTCGCGGTACCTTTCATACAATTTTTGAAGCTTAAGGAATTTAGTCAAACGCTTTAGCGCGGCCTTATTGTAGCGCATCGCGTCAAGGAGGATCGAACTTGACCCTCGATACCAATGTAGCAGTCGCTCACCTGACGGGAGGACTGACAGAGCGGAAGCGTGGAGTTATTGGTCCTCGTCGTTGTAGGAAGAAGTCCAACCAAGCGGCAAGCACTAGCGTACATAAGATGTGTACGTAACAGTTAGAGACGGCGGCAGCGGAGTCTTGAACTCCGAACACCTAGTAATGTGATACGTCAGTGTCTGGCCAGAACACCCCGCCCGGGTAGCTTATATCTCGGCCTACCTGCCGGATAATCTCTACTACGGACCTTGCCGTACTAGGATAATGTTGGTGGGGCCCGGGGCCCCAGCCCGTTAGATTCGCTTACGAACAACTGCCCAGTTCGCGACATGTGACGAAACTCGGAACATGTACGAAACTTGAGTCAGATCGTTTAACAAATTAACAGTTATTGTTAAAAGTAATCGTTAAAATATTCTAAGGGAAATGTAGCCTGCTACAGTGTTGTTTCATTTTGAGTGGAAGGCCGTAGTCGTCCGGCATTCGTGGACGGCAGCCATACACAAGGTAGAAGGGCATGTAGCCCGTGGCTTCACATTTGCTGTTGTGATTTGATGGCGAGAATTCCGCCATCCGCTGTGTGTGTGTGTGTAGGTGTTCGGCCCCAGTGTTCGGCCCCCAGCAAGTCGGTGAGTTCCGGCCCCCTACATAATTGCGTAGAATCTCTTGCAGGACGTGATTCACTGTTCGCTCAGTTAGTCCATCCGTTTTTATAAGAACCAGCTACCCTTTTATAAAAAACACTTCCACTTACCCAGGTAGCAACCATGGTAGCAACTATAGTAGCCCAACAACTCTAACCTATTGCTACCAACTTCGTCTATGTTACCTCCAAATCTTGCTCCTTCTCTTTTACTGTTAATACTTTTTTCCTAAAGTGGTGAGGGTGGAACGACGTGGAGAGCTGCTGTTTTTTGAAGTGCAGTTGCTGGGCTGTGTTGCACATTGCTTACACAGTGAACCGCGGGTCACGATCTGACGGTAGGAAGTCAGTCGATACAGAGCCATGTTCGCAGGTGAGATATTTCATCACGCAAGATTTATGCGACCTGAAGGATCATAGTGATTTGGTCGTGCGTCGGCACGACGAACATGACGAATTTTGTCAACAAATGTCGACAAAGACGCAAACGGCCGTGTGGCCATCCTTGGCGGGTGACAGCGGCGACTTGATGATGAAACCGCAGGACACCAGCAGACTGTCAGACTCCAACAAGCAGCACAGCCGCAGACTAAGGTTTGACAAACAATCTCAACATAAATAAATAGCCTATCTTTTATTTGGACTTAGCGCAAAAGCCCACACATTAGCAACAAGACAAATACACAGACAGCAAACTATTTTTCCTACACCGCTTTCATGCATATGCACAACCTGCCGTGTTCACAATCAAGAGATTTTCTTAAATTGGTTTGGCAGCACAAGAAACCCTGAAAATACAGGATCAGCCGGAAAACAGAAAACGGTAAAACCCCCCTCTTTGTTATATATATATCGTTAAATTGTGAGATCGTGAAATGCACGTAATATAATTCTCCCACTTATTTAACAACAAGTCACCTTGTTCCTCACAAGTTCCGGTTCACATTGTGTCGATCGGCGCAAAGCGGACCCAGGACCCCAAACGCACGCTTAGTCCTTCGCTGCCACGTAAGCGCCGTGAAATCGGTACGGCACCTTAAACGGCAAGTCCACGTTCGCCAGCCCGCTCATATCCGCTGCGTCATACACACACAATACGCTTCTCCCGCCCGGCATGATCTTCGGGGCCAGCAGCACTCCGTCATCCTCGGTTGACCCGTCGGGTCGCGGCACAAAAATGGGCTGCCCTGCAAGTGGGGGGTTTCGTCGAGTGGCAGCTAATATCTCCCGCCGTTGCCGGAAAAACAGAAGTTCGTCAGAAAAACAGGAGGTGAACAGGTAAACGAAGGGTACATACAGTGGTTGGAAAAACAACATGGATGCGAATGGATGCGGCGGTACGAGGTAAGAAGCAACATATTCCCTGATGCTGATGCACCGCTTATGATTATGATAACCAGAACGCGTTCGTACGCGGTCAGCAGGCCCCCGGACTTCACACGGGAATCACATGCACGAAGGGAAGGACCAACTGCCGGCTCCCAAGTGGAGCTGGGGCTGGGGCTGGCAGGAAAGGGAAGGGAAAGAACGCGCGTTCTAGGAGGGCAGGAAAGAGCAGGGCCAGGATTTTAACCCAAGTAAAACCCTAAAACCCTAAAACCCACCTGGCATGCTTCCCGGTATGGAACACACAAAACTGCTCCCTTTTTCCAGGTCGTGACGAGCCAGCGCGTTGCCCATATTGGTCGGTCGTATGGCAGCGGTGCCGTACATGTACCTGTACGGCTTCCCCCGGAATCTGCAGAGTCAAAGGCAAAAAGGCAGCAAGAGGAATGAATGAATGAATGAATGAAGGGCGACAGACTCATGACTTGATGAACACCAAGGGGGACTCCACAGCCTACACAATAATACACCAAAAATATAACGCCGTCACATGTAATGCGCCTTATCACGTTAGTTTTTAAGCTGTCACATAAAACCGTTCACATAAAGTTACGGGCAGACAGGTCCATCTCCCCGTCCTTCCGCCTTCTACTCCTTCCATCTGTTTTCCTGCAACCCCCCAGACACCAGAATCAGTACGACACCTGTACAGGGACCCGTCGTACAGGTGTACAACTATCGTACGGAAATGACGTTGTGCAAATCCGCTACCTCACCCTTTCAAGACCTCACCGTGGGTTGATGGCCGGGAACTCGAAAAAATTGCCGTACGCGTTCTCGTCTGTAAGCAGCGGCACGGGAGCCGCCAATGACGATGGACCCACCGGTCGGTTGGCCGCATCCCGCAACGGAATGACCAGTCTCCTCAGCCGGCCGGGTGATATGTCTTCAATGTTTAAGTCATGCGGGATGGGTGGGGGGTTAGATGGCGCGGGCGAGGGGAGACGGCGAAACACACACACACATAAATGTAACGTGTGTACGAATGGTGCGTGTGTAACAAGGGTTTCATATTTGAAAGGCGTCGGATTGTGGGAATGATGTGGAACGGGAATGTGGGAGGGTTTTAGAAAAACTGCCCCCCTCCACACACACACACACACACACACACACACACACACACACACACACAGAGAAGCGCCCATGTCAAGGTCTTAGAGAAATGTTGCACTTTTCTGCATAGAAGGGAAGTTGTCAAACACAGCAGGCACATCAATCTTAGTTAGGGTTTAACTGCCGGCGTCTTAAAAGCGCCAACTGCTGGAACGGGGTCGGATGGGCCTTATGAAGTCTCATCCAAGTGCTGCCGTACTACCGCCGCCACTACACACGGACCAGCAGCCCCCGCGCCCCGACCACCATCCAGCAGCCACCCATCCACCCATCCATGCATACATCTCACCTTTGCCCGGGAAGGCTTTAAGACGATCCAGGGACAGATCGTTAATGATCTCAGGGTCATCGTACACACTAAAATCCAGGCAAATTTCGGTTCCGGAGCTGGTTCCAGACGGGCGCTCGAAGGCGTTGCCGAGGTGGAAAGTGAAGAACGCGGGGGCCGTGTGGGTCACCACCTGAAGGCCACCAAGAAATCCACTTTTTTGAGCGAATTTTAGAGTGAATTAGGAAAATCTGAATCAAAAAGAGAATTAAAAATTGGATTCGATAAAAACATAAAGCAACAATATAATTGGACTTTAAATAATTGGACTTTTAAATAAAATTTACTTCATGGCTTCTACATTGCGCCCAACCTTAAAAAAAGACGTTTTTTCAGGGCAGATTTAGAAGCCGAGTGCAAATAAGAGGGCCAAAGTACGGCATAATAACGACGTCTAGGATTGGGGGCATCCCAACACCGTAGTACATGTGCACGGCTTTTCCGTACATTTACACGAACAGCCCCGCTCCGAAACCAAGAATATCAAGTCCCGAAACCCCCACCATGCCTGGAAACCACCGAGCACTCCGAAACCACCAACCAAAACCACCGAAACCAACCCAACCGACTCACTCCGGAGCCATCCAATGCGATGACGTGGACCCGGCAGCCTGCCTGAGGTCCGTGTCAGGGCGGGGCATGTGGACGGGGGGAAGGGGGGGAATCGGGACAGCGAAAAAACAACAACAAAACAGAGCGCGAAAAAGGGGTGGTAAGTGTGAGGGGGAAAGTGAGTGAGATAAAAGAGGAAGGAAGCGGAAAAGAAAGGACAGGAGAGGACGGGCGGAACGAGGAGGCGAGCGAGGGCTGGAGGCGGGGCACACATACATATGGGCAACATACACACACGTACGTACATACATACACACACACGTATGTTCCTATTGGGGTACTATACGGTTAGGTGCCCCTGGCCAGCGGATCGATGCATAACAGAAGACATATACATACATACATACAAACATACATACATACAAACATACAAACACACCCGCCAGGCAGCTTGCCCGATCCCACCTCCGGCTTCCAGTCCATGAAGGCGTACGGCCTCTTCGTCCCGAGAATTAGTGAAGCCATGCTAATGAATAGCGGGGTCTCCACCACCACGAGTGAGGAGGAGGTGATGGCCATGTCGTGAACCCAGCAGGGGGCCCACGGGTTGCGGTCGCTGTACGGCAGGGGGGTACGGGGGTAGGGGGGTACGGGGGTAGGGGGTAAGCGGGCGCGGGTGCGGAGGGGAACGTGGGAGCTAGGTAGTTCCAGGGTTTTTCAAGGAGGGTTTGGAAAGGAGATTCGGAAAAATGAAAATAGAGATGGAAGGGAGCGGGGAATGCATAGGACGCATGGGGGGGATTATGTTTGGGAATTTCGGGAATTGGGGGAAATTTTGTGGGAAAGGATTTGAGGAATTTACGGGGATGTTAAAGATGTATAAAACGTAGCAGGAAACAGTGGAGTGACGGCGAATGCGGTGCAGGACGAGACAGACAGACAGACAGACAGACAGACAGACAGACAAGAGACAGGCGCACATACATACAAACATGCATAACCCCGCACCATGACGTTAACCATTTACTATCTACTACAATCACGGCACCCAAATATCATGCCGTGCATTTTCCGTACCGTATGAAAGCAATCTTCGTGCGTCTCAGGGTTACAGGGTCCTGCCGAAACACGTGGTAACCGCCCAACGGTAAACTGCGAGTAAAGTTCATGATGGAACCGTCGGGTGCCACCTTGGGGTGGGCTGTCGTCAGGTCACCCGGAAAATCGTCGTCGTACTCCACCTGCCGTACAGTTGCGAGGGTGGCTGGATCCACGATGTAAGCAGCGCTACGAGTCTCTGAGGCGGGTCGGATATTTGCACCCCGGCATCGGAGTCATTGGGGAAGCAGCGCCGGGTGAGAGAAACGTGAAACGTGTCTGTGTCTGTGTGTGTTTGTAGGTATGTAAGTGTGTGCTCGATTTGATCAAGAGCTGCATCAACGGCTTGTCATTAATATCGCATTCGATCAACAAACACTTAGGGTTTTGAAACCCTAAAACCCTTAGGGTTTTAAAACCCTAAAACCCTTAAACCCTAAAACCCAACAAATACATCAGGAACATGTTAGTGTAGTACAGCAGGAGAAAGCAAGCTAGGGGTGCAAACATACCGTGTTTCGGAGTGTAACAGCACTTTTTACGATGCAAAGTACGTCGTACACCTACGGTATGCCGTACACTCACCGCCAAGCGCCAGCAATCTATTTCCTGGAAGCGGGATGAGGTTGATAGATGCGTTGTCAGTGAAGGCCCGGCCCTTGCTCATCTGCGTCGGGAAGGGTGTGCGGGGGAGAGGGAGGGACATATGAAACACGAGCGAGTGGGGGGAGGGGGGGGGAAAGGGGGGAGGAGGGGGGAAAGATACGAAACACGCCAAACACGCCACAGCTAAACATGCATGCCATGCACGACCTGCACGTGGCGCGCAGGTGTACAGGGGAGACATCGTGTGGACACCCGCAACTGCTTAAACCCCCCCCCCCCCGGGAAGCTACCAAAACCTGCTCCTGTGTGTGTGCTCCAGCTTTCCGTGACCCAGATCGCAACTGTTCGTTGACCCAAATCACAACAGTGCGTTGACCCAGATCGCAATAACACATCAGTCGATGCGTTCCGTTCATAAACCCGATTGAAAGCACTCACCTGTACGCGTCCGTGTCCAGGAAACGCTGGCTGGCAGTCGCACGCCCCGTCACACCGTCTAAGTGAATGCGGGTGAGGAAGGCGAAACCGTCAAATAGATGCTCCATGCCACGATAGTCGCCACAGCCGTTGATGACGACGGTTCCACGAAGCCAAGATGGGAGATTGCCTGATACCGGCGCATTAGCTTCTTCAACCTGTCGTACGAATGACGTGTAGTAGAAATGCACATTTGCATGCGAAATTAAGAAATAGGACGAAGGGTGAGATGATGTTCCTCTTAAAAAATCATGGAGTTGTGTGGACGGTTTGAGCATCATGGGATTGGCAGAGGTGGCCGGGTGGTGTTTTGTGGTGTGTGGGGGACTCCGTCCCCTTTAGGGGAAGAAGTGTTCCCCTTCTTCCCCTACAGGTGACACAGAATAAGGGACCATGGAGGACATGCACGTAGATAGACGTGAACAAACATAGGTTGACAAGAGGGCTGGGGAAATTGGCGAAGGTGTAGGAGATGAAAAACAGACAACCTTCAGTTATCCTTCAAATTTAGAGGCACTCTTCGCTCATCCCGTTGCTCAGAGGAGAAAAGCGCACCTGCTCCTTGGCAAGTCCAAACGCTGTCTGCCGCGCCTCCTTGGTGACATAGGCGCTTGAAGAGAATGTTGTGCTTGAAGAAGCAGCTGCTAAAGTTAAGGAAAGTGGCAGCCATGGCGACGCAGCTCTGACAGGCAACCTTACAGGCGGTGTGCGGACGGGACAGGATGTTAGCATCGACGAAGGCCGAGCACGATGCTTCGCCAAAGTAACGTGGTGCTGTTTCATGGCGCACAACTACAAATGAAATCGAAATGAAATAACCCTGAAATACACAAGGAGTTTGAATAAAGATATGGAGATATATTGTGTTGTGAATTACACGATATTCCGGTCAGACCTCTCTTGTAACGCTGCTAAGGCAGGCCTTGGCTTGTTCAGAAGTACTGGGTACGGTGAAGGTGGTTGCTAAGGTTGTACGGGTCGAAAGTGAGACGAAGGTTGCATTTGGTGGGAGAGGAAGTGTGAAAGGTATGTCTTTATTAAAGAGATTTAAGGTGCTTGATAGAGATTTGAGGCGTTTATTTGGCCAGGATCAGACCCTATCTTGCCATCGTTCGGAGACAGTCGGTGTGTAGGCGCACCGCTTCTCCCTTTCTCTCACTTCATACCTTAATTTCCCGTATCATCTTCTCCTTATATTATAGTCGACTCGGCGTCCTTTCTGACGCCC